AAAAGTGTAATATAAAGAGGAAATTTGGCGATATTTGGTTGAATTCCTGCAGGGTATAAGCTAATTCATACATCATAGTTATTTTTTAATACCTGTTTTATTAATCTAATAAGATAAGAAACACACAGATAACCTAAGAAGTGGTGTTTCTTCTAGGGAGTTAACACTGAAGAAAACTATGTGATCTAAGTGAGAAAATAATTTAAAGGGCACTGTGTCATAGTGTCTCCAAATACAAGAGGAGTTAAGTGTCTGGCTAATGAAGACAGAGCTTTGGCAAATGTGGATTTGAGCAGGTAGCTGGCAAGAGAATGGTTTGTCTACAAAAAGAGGTAAAGATGAGAGAGAGAAAGAAGAGTAAAAATTGATCACTAATCTGAGGTGAGATGGAATTTAAATGTTAGGAAATTGAATACACTAAAATGCTAGGACTAAAGAAGAGTGATTTCTATTTGATCTTCTTACTTCATATAATTATCATTTACAAGCGAAGACTGATACAGCATTGATTTATTACTAGGCATTAGGAGTTACCTTGCTTCAAAAAATTCTATAGCCTCTTTCTATTTCAATTTCTAAAAAATTAATTTAAGTCAAAGAAATCATGATTTTCTCCCATGAAAGAAAAATTTATGGCTAGGGAATGAATTGGGAGGTATTCCTGGGCTATTACTTGAATGACAGGAAAGAATGAGGAGTCAAATAAAGAGAGGCTAAATAAATTTATGAGATAGAATAAAACTACAACTGTCATTTCAAATCTGACATCAAGGATTTTCTCATTTAATGAAAATATCTATCAATGATACTGATTATTGTTTTAAAGATTTATTTTGCTTACTTGTGTATACAAGAGCTGTGGTGTCCGGGGATGATAGGATTTGCCACAGACCTAGTAGGGAGCAGAACGGGAGGATCTAGTGAAATACACTGCTGCAGGGAGCAGCATTCAAGACAGAAGTCTGCTGCACCATGTGGGTCAGCTCCCTGGCTAGGGATAGAACTCATGCTGCAGTGGCTGGCAATAGCCTGATGGTGCTGAGACTCACCTCTGCAACACCAGAGAGGACTCTTACCCTGTTTTTTTTTTTTAAAAATGTTTTATTGTAGAAGTTGTAGATTTATAGAATTATCACCAACTCCCCCTATAACCCACCCATTTCCCTATTAACAATTCACACAGGATATTTGCCACAATGAATGTACAGATAGATACATTGACTAAAAAGCCCATTACTTTATTCACATTCCCACGTTCCCTCGCTTTTCCTAATGTCCTTTTTCTCTTCCCATTCAATTTATATTACATGTAGGCATGTCATCTTGGGCTTCTTGACTGGTGAGATTCTTGTTTTTCATGACCTCAGCAATTCTGAGTACTGGTTAGGTATTTTACAAAATGTCGCCCAATTTCTCTTTGTGTTTCTCATGATTAGACTTGAGTTATATGTTTTTAGGAGGAAGTTCATAAAGGCAAAGTTCCATTTTCATCACATCAAATCAAGGTTATATGCTATCAGCATGACTTATCACCGTGGACCTTACTCAGGCTGTTTGGCAGGTTCCTGCACTGTAAATTTATTCTCTCCTGGCCATATTGTACTCTTTGAAACAAAGTCACTAAGTGCAATTTACATTTGAGTGGGGAGTTATGTTCTACCAGGAGGGAGAGTACAAAAATTGTTCAGGATTCTTGCACACATTTTTTTGCTTTCTTTAATTTATTGTCCTTTATGTATGAAATACGGATATTCTGTATTTTAGGTTATAATTGAATCCTCTGTACTATTGCTCTGACATACCTGTCACCAGTATTTTTTTTTATTATTTATTTTCTGACACTTTTAAGATGTTCCAGGGTTATATTGTCTATTTCCTACCTGCTTCCAGCATCAGTCAGTTAAAGAGCCCTAGTTCTTTCTATGAAAGAATGTTATTTTAAAGATTTAGGCCCTATACAAACAATTTCATTGTTGCTGATTATGAATTTAAGCTGTTTTTCCTTTAAAAAGGAAACATATTAAAACCCCAATTCTTTGGCTTGCTGATAATAAAACTGGCATATTCAAGTTACTACTAGAATGTTGTCAGCTAATGATCTGGAAAAGGTTAATGCAGTATGTTTCCCTGTAGTGACCACAAGAATCAGCTTTCATGAAGTATGCCTTCCACTCACACTTGTAATTATATTTTTAAAGGAACCCCTCTTTTGTCTTTTTAAATGTAAGTTTTGGCTCAGAGTGGGACTTGGTTTTGTATTAACTATCCTGATAAAATGGATCCATTAAAATAATTTTCGTATGGAAAGCTTTTTCAACAAGTGATGGTGGGAAAAGTTGCATAATTGCATGTTAAAAAAAAAAGAAAGAAAAAACTACACCACTATCCCACATCTACACAAAAATCAACTCAAAACAGTTAGGATTAGGATATAAAATTTGAAACCATAAGGCCGATAGGAAACATAGGCAAAACACCGCAACGCCCTCTTCAGAGATGTTTGTGACCTCATATCCAGCAGCAAAGAAACATAACGACATTAAAAATTTTGTAGGGAAAGAAACCATTACTATAACAAAAAGACCCTCTATTGAATTGGGAGGAAAATATTTACACACCCTACATAACTGCTATCAAGTACCTACAAAGATACTCATTTGTCCACTTTTTGTTGAGTAGTATAAAAGTGGACAAATGAGTTAATCAGCACTTCCCCAAGACATACAGATGAAAATATGGCCAAAGAACCCAGCCCCACACCTTATAACAAAAGACCAGAAACAAATGTCTAAGATATGGAGAAAAAGGAACCTTCTCTCACAATGTTGGTAGGATCATTTCTAGTTCCTATGAAAACCATGATGTCTCAAAATTAAAAATGGATTCACCATTTTTACTAGCAATTCCACCCCTACATAAATACAAAGCATTAACTGGAAGGGAAACAAGCATTCCCAGGTTCTTTGCCACACACTCTGCAATAACCAAACTATGGAACCCCCAAAATGCAGAGATGACTGGATCAGGGAGATCTGACATGTGACACATATATACATACCCCATGATGGAACACTGAGCTATATAGAAAAGCAAAAACACTTGCCATTTGCAGCAACATGGATGGAGGGAAACATGTAATCAGAAGACAAATGCCAACTGGTATCATTTATATGCAGAATATACAGAACTGAGGCTGGGGGCAGAGTGGGGAAGGAGCACTTGGCATAGTGGTAGGCTGGGTGTCTCGGTACTGGTGCAGTATGGTAACACCTATGGGGGTGGATCCTATCCTTCTAATACACAATGATGTAAAAATCAGTGTCACAATAAAAAGAAAAAAGCAAGCAATACTACAGAGAACACTAAAAAAAAGTGGGAAATGGAATTTGTCATTTTGATGAAGAAGTCACAACATGAATCTTTTAGGCACTTTTATTTTCCAAAAAAAATTGTCGTTAATATATAAACATCTCATTCTCTCAAAAAATTCTACAACTATACAGCTGTTTGCTCCATTATTTGCATAGGAAATGACCACAATACAAAAATAAGAGGGAAAAAGAAGCAAAACAGCAACTGAGTTATGCTTTTTATGTAGGTATGTTTCCACGTATAAACATTTTGAAGCCTCTTACAAAATATTTACACCATTTGTCATCTATTTACATGTTTTAAGAGCAACTTTTCTAACAAACAAAACTATAATTTATCAAGTTATGAAAATTTTCTAAAAAAACTTACTATATTACCACAAAATAAATAAAGATAAACAATATTTTAAAAACAAAATTAAATTTTCATTTCAATTAAGACCCCTTTTGGCATGTTGCTTATTTATTCTGCCCTTTGGTTAACAGCATGAGCATCACATTTCTATTTTATATTGCATATATGTAGCACTTGCTTCCTTACGTCTTCAACATGTCACTTATGATTAAAGGCAGACACTGAGTCAGTATTAACAATAGATTAACTAGGCTGCACTGTAATTTAGGAAAAATTACTGTGTCGCAATGTATGTTACATGCAAAATCCACATAAACTGACATTTAACCAACATTACTGCACAAGCCAACATCTTGGTATATGAAAAGTACATCATAAATTCAACTGTTGCCATATGAAAACTACATAAGTCCTTCTTTTATAAAATGATACTGTTTAGCTTATTGTAAGAGGTTTGACTTTTGTGTATTGTAACTACCTATAAGCTCTTCAGTTCACAATTCATATAAAATGTCTTTCATGTTTAAAATAAACACTCCTATTTAATCAGTGCATGAAATCTGCTTTTTAAGTTCATTTGAATGATTATTTGATTACCCTAAAGAAATCAATTTGGTAGTGTTTTAAGAGGTATCTTATCACAAATTCTAACTGTAAATGTACTTACGGTTATTCTCAAAAGAATCATTAATGATTTTTCCCCCAAAAGAATCCTAGAAAACTTGTAATAAACCTATAAAGCTGATTTGCATATTTACAAAATTTTGAATAGCAAATATAGGCAACTCATATTTTAAAAAAACACATTTGTTCAATGGCTACGTGTGAATTGCCAGGTACAATGCGCACCTCTAAGGAATTATCTAATATTGAAAAAAAAGATTCAATGTCAAGTAAAATCTTGACATACAATCCAGTCTTCTTCCTGCTCCTGCCAACTGATCCTGTTTATTAAACACAGTCACATTAAATGATGGTGCTTAGGTAAAAACACTGCAAACACACTCTGCTTCCCACCCCCAACCCACACTGAGATGTGGCTGCCTGTCGTGAGATGAAATCTGCTTGAGTAGCGCCATATACATTACAGCAAGCATTCCAGATTCTTAAAGGACCAAACACTTTGGTATTAATACAATGTATTCCCTGTTTTCTCAAATATACAAAATATACATTTCCAGTTTTTTGCTTTCTCTTTTTTATATATATAGTTGAGTTTGTAGTTGCAAATTTTGCCAAGTGAACTGCAGGCCGTCAGTGGGCACTGCGTAGGCACGGCAGGCCTGCGGCTCAGTTCTGGTGCCTCTTCATGTGCAAGGCCAGGTGGTCGGAGCGCGAGAAGCTGCGGTTGCACACCGCACACTGGAAGGGCTTGGCCCCGGTGTGCTTCCGGTAGTGGCGGGTCAGCTCGTCCGAGCGCGCGAACCTCCAGTCGCAGCCTTCCCAGGTGCACTTGTAGGGCTTTTCACCTGTGCCAATGAACAATGAGGAGGTGAGAGTCCAGACAGACAATACATAAACTGCTCAAGAAATAATTTCTATAATTATGGTCCAAGAGAAGCAAAGTTCACAGTCTATCATGAATTTAATTCCGCAAGATTCCAGTAAAGAGTTATGTTTCATAACGCTACTTAATCTCTAGTAATAGAAAGATAAAGAACTGTGTATCTCAGAAAAAGTCATTTTTACACACGTGAGATCAATCAGTGCTCTCATTTCTATGTACTACTCCTGAAGACACAGATCTATCAAATGAGTTGAGGTTTAGCAATTCTAGGAATATGCTCAGCAGTGATAAACCGGAATGAAACTAGTATAGTAAAATGGTTATAAGCAGGCTGTGGGGAAAAAAATTGTTTAAATAACCATGGACGAATTTAATATTCCACAAATGCAATCTCTTACATCAAACATCAAACTTTCAGTGCATAAACTAGTTCACCTAAACACACAAACTCCAAAATGGACTATTGGGACACTGTTCTTTGAAATTCACACTAACACATACTCATTCACATCTTCCCATTTTCCAGATTGGAGCAAAAGAATGCAAGAAAGATTTTAAAGTTTAAGAGTAATAAAGTTGTATGCATTTGATATTTAATACTCTCCTCAACCAGATCAACAATGTTTGGTTATAATGACTTCATCTCAGTTTAAGTGTCAAACACCCGTAATAATTCTAAACTTTGTTGCATGTAGACTTCCCTTTGTAATGTACTGCACCCAAAAGATCATCAAAATTCATTCTATGAAGGCTTCACCAAGTGCTTATTATATGCCAGGAAATTCCCAATCAACAAAACAAAAAACTCCTGGCTTCAAGCAGCTTACCATGTCATCTATATTTTACAAGCCTCTTTTCAGTCTATCCATACTCTGACAGAATTCTTTACTTAAATAGTGAAGTGATATCTGAGCAGTCCCATCACACATTATTCTTACTACTATTTAAAGTGTGCTAGTTGCTATTCTTTCAAAACTACTCAAATTTATCATGTAATCTTAACTTTAGACTTACTCCTATGAGATCATGCATTTCCCCTGAAATAAATCCCCAAACCTAAGAATCTTCACAAAGCATTAACTAGCTCTTATGCTCTACTTGTTATAACTTTCTACAAATTTTAGATTAAGACTAGAGAGAATGTGAGATAAACTTGCACGTTAATGTTCTATGGCTTACTACAGAGATTTATATGGATGCCACTTAAAACTCTGAATAGTAAAGCTGCTAAAATTCCTTTTAAAGTGGTTGCTTCTGAAAGGGAAGAACCTCAGCGCTGCTTTTGAACTCTCACTACTCAGTGCCACGGCAGAAACTCCACAACCATTCTGCCTGATTTAGCAGTATCATATTCAGGAAGTTGTAAGATTACTCAACTGAGTACAACTTTTTGAATACAATGTCTCCACCAACGGAGATTTCTACCACTTGTGGCTAATATATTTTGTTGTTATCCTGATAACCACTCTGAATCTTAAACTCCCACAAGGACAAAGAAGGACCAAAACTGTCCTTGAAATGTATGCTAATTCTTTCTCGTGAGATTCTCTTTCCAAGGCTATGGTATACACCCACCCCGTGCCACCTTTTATTTCTCTTCTCTCTTCTCTGACCCAAGACTCAAAGATATTCTTTATTTTTTTTTTTATATTCTCTATCACTACATTTAAAAAATGCACTTTTCAATTTCTGAAGTTTTTTTTTTTTTTACCTCTCAAAGTAAATTCTAAAAACTAAGGCTAACACTCAAATGCTTTAAGTAACACTAACAAATAAGTCTCTTTTCTTTTGCTTATATTCACATATAACCCATTAAGCAGAAATGTTTTAATACTAGTAATAAGTGTAGCTATCACTCTTGAAATATAAATCAAACAGAAAAAAAATAACATTTTGCACAAGTGTTTTGTTTTTGTTACTGTGGAAAATAAATCACAAAAACATACTGGCTAAATACTTTACTGTCATTTAATGGAAAGAGAAAGTTATTTCTGATGTCTGAGGCAAGAAAAAAAATTCCTAAAGTGCCCCAATTTTAAAAGAAATCATTCTAGTCTTTTGAATTTAATAATTACATAGCAAGAGAACAGAATTTTCAAAGTTTATTTAAGAAACAAGGGACACTAGACTCTTTTTGTTCGCTATTTTTATTGGCTATGAAGCCATAAACTGCACCAATATTTTTAAAAGTTTACTTTACTGATTGGTTGAAAAACGGTAGCTATTAAAGTTCCTAAAACATTTGGGATTTTATTCTCAATTTATGCACATCTATAGATTATTCAGCCAAGAATACTACCAGTGTCTGGGTCACTAATTATGAGGCCAAGTCTTTACTATAAAAGCAAGGACAACTAGTCCCCACTCGGGGCCATTTCTATGGGATTTGTTCAAGTGTCAACACTGCTCAAGTAAAACATCATAGAGGAAGCTGGTACCCAATTTCTGGCCAAATAGCAGATGCAGGCCTTTCTTCCTCAGCCAGAAACACTATGCACTGTACTTCTGGGAAACCAAACTGACTTCCTTTAAGTTATTTCAACAGGATAGAGCTTTCAAAAGTTTAATTGGATTTTTACAGAATCTCTTTCCAATACCACCAATTTAAAATATTTAGTTAAGCTCTTTCAACATCAACTGTATTTTTAAGTTCTCATGCTGTTAATGTGAAACTTTCCAATGGCAAAAAGAAAAAAAGTGACAAGTCCATACAACATGGAAAACAAACCTCAACTTTATCTAAAAGTATGCATTTTCTCATTTTATTTTAAAATTACTCCCAATATTTTGCTAGGGATCCTTAATCTTTTTTTTTTTTTAACTCAGATTAAGCATACTATCCATACTGATAAACTCAATGTGTTTTTGTACAACTGTTAAGCAAAAATGTTACCAGGCAAAGGAGAGAACAGGTATAAACATCCGTTGAGTGCATACTTCAGAGAGGTATTTCTCAGCATTTCACCTAATCCTCACAGTCAACCCAGGAGTTAGAAGCAAAAGATGCACTCCCTTCAAGAATCCTAGTTTGCCACTTTTCCTTAATGTCCTACTTAAATCTTCCATTAGCAAACACTAATATACTCTATATGAATGACTTAAGGAAATAGTTCAAATTTCTTCAATGATTTTAAGTCCACTTACGAAGGGCTGTTATGGAGTAACTTACTGGACTCTGAGCAGGTTGTAAGGCCCAGACTGTCTGAGACAACCCCTTGGCTGTGTTAATCTTCTGTGGAGACCCAGTACTACCTAACTGTGTTCCCTTTTTATCCCAGGTTTAAGTGAACTTCAGTGGATTAGCAGAACAAGTCCATTAAATATTTGAAAATTAGCTTTAACAATGAACTAAAACATTATCTAATTTTTTCCCTTTAATGAAAAGATTAGAAAAATAACTTTAGAACCTGTCACCATAGAATGGGAGGTTTCTCTGCTCTGCTGAACATATTCAATAGTCATGCCAAGGCCTTTCCCTAGAATGTTCTACACAGATTCAAAAAAAAAAAAATACTGTACATGGATTTATCTTTCAAAAGTTATTTCAGTTGTTCTTTTTTAAAATGTTTACCACAGCAAAATCACAAATTTTCCTGGAGGCTAAAACTAAAAACCGTAAGAATTAAAGTAGATGTTTAGTAAACATTGTTTTCTACATAACTTGCAAGACACAATTAAGACCTAGTCTCTGGTCTTAGAACAAAACATCACAGCAAACTGCTTAAGTTTAAAAAATGATTCCATAGTTAACACTTAATTCTTGGAATTTAAGAGTCCTTGAAGTTCAGTTATGAACTCTTTCAGGAAGAAACTGTTTACATGCCAATTCAATAGATTTCCCATCATTAGAGACTTAAGGGATTCAGAACCTGAAACATTATATAGCCTAATGAAAGGCCAAAAAATAGGAAGCATTTACTAAGAATAAACCCATGAGGAAATTAGATTAGATTATCTTTTTTAAAAAAAAAAAGTGTGAAAAGTCTTTTTGTTAAAGCTTATTGTAGCACACTACATTCCTATACTTGCAAGAGAAGAACAGGTAATTTATTTCAAAGACTAATATTTGCAAGACGCATCTCTGTTCACATCTGTCAGTAGTAATGTGCCCACATTTAAGAAAATGATTAATTTAAAAGGACACATTAAGAAATTCCCTTCATCCTCCCTGTCAATTTGAGTTCATTCCTTTCTTTAAAATATGTTTCTCCTTACCCATTCCAGAAATCTCTCCAGGGTCCACAAGAGATCACTGCCACTTCTCTGTCTCCCCATCATCATCACTTAAATTCACTTTGAATGATTTTTATACATTTAAAAATATACACAGAGACTTCATATAGCTGCATTGGTCTCTTTAAGTAGTTTGTGTTCTGTCCCATCTATAATGCATCATCTTTAGAAGAATTAAGTTTGACCCAAGTGTGACCAACTTGGTTATTTTCACTAATCAAGAAGAAAGGTATAACAGAGGAGTGTGTCAAGTGTGAGTCTACCCTGACACTCACTTGTCTTTTCTTGTGGCCCTAAGGCAGCAGCAATTTGCCTGGCTCTCCTTTGCCTAGAGCCATTGAGAATGGATAAAATGTGCTTTGGGCGGGGGTAACAATCATGCTTTTAGCCTGTTTAGAAGGACATGTTCAGTATCCACTAACATCCATCTTGATGATATATGCACAGGGATAAATTCTATAAAAGAATTTTAAACTTCTTTTACAGAAGTAGACTGGTGTCAAAGAAAATCATGACGTTCTGGAGCCTCTGTTGCTGTTCAGTGGCAGTAAGGGGACATCTGGGGCGAGAGAATGGTCTACCAAACCTAGAGGGGAATTATGTGACATCATGTGAAGGGTTATCTTGCCCATGTCCTCAAAGAGTGCTAAGCTGCTAGGCTACTGTTTTGTTTTGTTTTTTAAGGGAAACTTTCATTGATGTGCTTACCTTTTTATTTTATTTTTTAAA